GGGGGGGGGGGGGGGGGCACATGCGCGCGCGCCCGCCCCAGTCGCTTTTTGTAGAAGTTTTGCGGTTTGAAGCTCAAGTAATTAGTATAGTATATCATTGTATGGTTTATCCGGGCTGCCACCTGCACTGCACGTGGGTGCGGCCCCTAGAATATTCGGGCTTCACGACGGAAGCGGAGCGGACGTTCTTGTTCGGCTAATCGCTTGAGAGCCGCTGACTCCCTGACGCTTGCGGATTGACTTCGAGGCACGCAGAGTCCAGAGCAATCCTTGATGAACTCTCCGAAGGCACAAGAAACAATCAACTGTTATGACTCGTTTAACATCGTTGAACTAGGTCTTCACCTGAATCCGAAAGCCAACAGATCAAGAACCATATGGGTAGGAATCCTTTTGCCGCATAAACCCGAAGCCCGAAATGGCCAACTCCAAACGCGGAGCCCGGAACGCCTCGCAGCGCTTCCGTACTTCTGGCCAGTCAAGCAGCTCTGCGAAGTGACGGGCCTGTCACCGGTCTGGGTATCTTCGGAACCCTGCCCCGCAGAAGAGTTCTAGCATCCCTGGGACATTGAATGGAAGCCCATTTCAGTCTCCTCATGAGGTGGAGCCCTGTAGGTCCTCAACCTTGGGCTCAGGGGCCAAGTACGCATCAGGCCTAACCCTCTTCTATCTTAAGGCCACAGTTCATTTGCCGCAGTGGAAAAATCTGCTGCAAAAGCTTCACCCCTAAAGCTTGGAGCTCGAAAACATCACAGCCAAAAATTATTTTCTTCCCTGCTTTCCAGGTTGCCTCCAGAATGTAGTCGGCCTGGCACGAAATCGGCAACACCCTCAAGGCATGGCATTGGCGCTCCTGACCCTGTATACGAACATTCCCTTTTCCTGGGCCTCCACTTCGTCTGATCCGTATCGAAGACGCAGCAGCATCATCGTGGCCTCGGGGCCACGGAATCTCGGTCAAAAGCTTTACTGTCCCTTTCTGTTTGCTGGATGTGTGGAGTGTGGAGCTCCTTGCACTCGAACCATTGCGACTGCCTGACTAATTACTAGCTTCCCATGTGGACGCCAACTCACTTTCCTGAAGTTACCACGTTCTGAGGGTTCTGCGCAATATGCCGTCCAATGTGGATTACTCGGTTGAAACACCAGGCAGCGGTGAAGGCTTTGGCATCCAATAAAGGGGCCTACCAAAATTATCCAAGCAGCATAGCACTAAACTCATTTCCGGCCTCTTGGCTGAGCCCTTCTGGCATGGTAATGACAGGACCTGCGCAGGAACTTGGGTTCAGAGCAGAACAAGCCGCCAGTGTCAGTCGATCAGCCTGAGAAACACCCCGAAGCCGAACCTGAGACCTTTAAGCAGTGACGCCCAAACTGAAGGGGTTCAAAGGTGCGCGTCCTGAGAAGTCATCAACCCCCAATCCTTTGACGTATCGCCTCCTCCAGTGTTCTCAGCTGGCCAGCGGAAAGCAGCAGCAAAGTAGTGCCCATCCTGACTGAAGAGGCTTTTGACTGATCCTAGCCAAAGCTTTCCTGAATCTCGGCTGAAGCCGGAGAAATGGAAAAGTCTTCACGGCTAGAGCTGAAACTGAGTATGCCCAAAAAATCTCAAGCACATAAATCCCAAGCTCTAGTTTCTCAATCCGTAAACCCGAAAACTCTCAACGGAAATCACAGCAACCCTCTGCCCTCCAACTTCCAACTACTCTCTATACTGCTCAGATGGCCGAAAGACAGAAAACATACACTCCTCGTCCCGGGGTCCCGCGAGCATACAGCGGTGGGCGGGAACCTGCAGGACTGGGATGGACTGAGCGCATGAAGAATCAAAGCAACAGCCAGGATCATGCAAACAACGAGGCACACCAAGAGACTACCGGTAAGTGGTGGCGAAGGTCTTTGGATTTGTCCGAGAAGGCGCAGGATTTGGGGCTTCAGCACTTGAGGGTGTTGTTCTTCGGGATCTTCGGGGTGCCCTTGGAACAAAACCTCCAAGCTGCATGGCGGTCCCTGCCTATCCTCTTTTGCTGCTTGTGTCGCACAAGCTTTTTCCTGCATTATTCGTTTCATGCGACTTTGCCGGCTTCGTGTCCGTGGATCGCCAGTTGCAAGGCCTTGCTGAAGAATCATCAAACAGCTGCTTCCTCGCCACATCGTGTCGGTTATCGCCGAAGGCAGAGTTCAAATCACTGATGGAAGCGAGCTATGCTGCCAGAAAGAAGGGCCAGGAGATGTATGCAGGTGCGGCTAGCATGACTGCGCCGGTGCCAACTTCAATCAACCGGTGGGCATGCTGAAGCTGGCCAGGTCCGAGAAGAGGCCGACAGGGCTCCTGCATACTCTCCCAGCACATCAGTTTCGTAGACAATTGGCGGGTTCAGCGTTCAGCTATAGGAATTATAAAAAATTCCACACGCTTGCAAGTTCACGGGCGAAGACCAGCTCCACACTTCTTCCCGATCTTCCCAAGTATTGGGGCGCTCCGCTTGTGCAGACCTCCGGTCGGTTGCTTCCATCGCCGGATGAAGTACGGCCGAGTCACACAATTCTCAAGTCTGCCCTGCACACACTCCCATGTCATATCGTTCCACACTCTGATACTGAGAACCAGATTTGGAACACAAGTGGGGGTAACATGCTTCGGCCCCGCTTGGTGCAAGGAGGGAAGCCCTCATGCAGCTCAGCACTCCTGCCATTGGCATCGTCGGGAACGACATCGTAGCCCCCTGGTGCAGGAGCTCACACTGCAGCGTCGTGGAGAACAGGTTCACGTAGCAAGTCCAAGATCATGCCTGGCCCAGGCACAGGGAGGCTCTTTCAAGTATGTGCCCTATATTATGGTTCAAACCGCCTCTAGGTCGTGTAGGGGCTGTTTCATGAATATTAGGGGATACACGGACTCCGATCCCCGCAACGGTCGCTCGGAAAACGGCTTCTACACAAACAAAACCACAACGTACTATATATGCACGACTGAAACCATGGGAAAATATTGAACCCCGAACCTTCAAGTTTGCAATCCAAAAGTTTGAAGAGAGCTCGGTTCTCAAGTCTCGCAGGCCGTGGAACTTTCATTCTGAACGCCTTATGCAAGCTGGAGGCAGAGTGTCTGGAACTTTGGATTGGAGAGTTCAGGGTTTGAGGATCCCAGGCTTTCAAGTTTGGAGCTTTACGGGTTTGGGGTGTCATGTTCCATCACGAAGCATCTCAAGCATTCATGCAATGAGCTTGTGGATTTAGGGACCGTTGAAGCATGACAGGCATCGGGTCGTAAGGTTGCCGCCTCTAATCACCTAGCCACAATACCCCTGCACCCTTGCAGCATCCAGCCCTCAAGTCAGTGCAACGATGCAGATCTCAAAGAGAGGCAGGCTTCGAGATTCTGTTGAAGCAATCGCCTCGAGGTCTTGGCATCGACAGCTTAGACTGGATCGTCCAGGGCCTTGGCATGAGCTTCACCTGAGCATGGGTCTCCTTTTTCAACCAGGGGATTGGGGGGGTGGAGGGGGGGGGGGGACGGGAGGCGGGGAGCTCTCTGATTTTGTTAGGAAGACAGGCATGCACTACACTACCACTGCAGTACCAAACTCGTGTTACTGCAGATCCCAGTTCAAGCGGTCTCAACAGGGTTCAGGGAGGTGGATGCTTTAGGGCTGAAGACGGTGCTAAACTCCGCAAAGCAAACCCGAATCTGAATAGGTAGCGGCAGGGAAAGTGACAGGGAGCGTCGAGAGCTTGCGAGAAAGGGCTCTAAGCTGTCGTATGAAACCTTGTGATTTGGGTCGGTCTATGCTGCATTCACATCTTAAGCGTCAGGGTCAAGGTCTGACATGTCAATCCTGCATCGGTGCGCCAACACGTTTGAACTCTCAAGCTGCAACCCAACAGCCTCAGAAGGGCGAGCTTCACAAAGGGGCCCAAACCCAGAAGCCTCCAACCGCTGACTTAACTGCTAACCAACTCCGTCCTTCCTGGAATCAATTGCTCCGTGGTACACAGCAGCTGCATCAACTGCTGCCGCTGCTCATCTGCCTCACTCTCCGACATGGAGATAACTTCCGCTTGGCTCTTCGGACCTTGCCTGAAAGCTTCAGTCCTCACCGGAAATCTATCATAGCGTTCTTGGTTCGATTCTCTTGGAAGCAAGATATGTAGGCTTCAAACTTCAAAGTGTGCCAAACTCTTTCGGGCCTTCGCCGACAGCTCTGCCTGTTTGCCCTTCTCCAAGGCAATCTGCATGGTGAGGTCCTCCTGATCACCGAGCGAACTTGCTACGGGCGGGCATAAACAGCTTGATTGCCTTTGTCGCCTCCAAAATCAGATCAGACCAGAAGTGTCAAGCAAATCGGAAAGGAGGGTCTACCCAGCGGAATTTTTGCTGACCTGCGAGGGCAGCAAAAGCTGCAAACAGCAGCATCCCGTTTTGGAGACTACAATACAAAGCATTACACTGCAGCGAAGGTCACAAAGATTCTATTTCCACCAATGTTCTTCACTTAAGGCTGCATGTGCTGGTTCCTTCTTTTTCCATCCGATGCATGTTCCTATGGTTCCTTCAGGTTTGACCAGATAAACAGCTCTGAACCACGAACTTAACTGAACATGGAACCCTCAGCAATCACAACCGGTATTCAAATGCAATGCCTATAGAAACGGAAAGCAACAACCTCAACACCATGCACTCAGACATAGAACGCACGACGGCGTCCACGACGGCGCAGGTTCATATTGTTTATTTAGGGCTTTCGTTGGGTCTCAGTCGATCAGCATTTTCCGGGCTTGCTTCAGCTTTGGATGGCCTCGATGGCAGAAGCGCTCGCCTTTATGTGCTGAAGCTCCTGCGGTTGGGTTTGGGATCTGAGGGTCCCGCAACTGGCACAATAGCAGTAGCACCAGCAGTAGCAGCAGCCGTAGCAATAGGCGTAGGAGGAGGAGGAGGAGGAGGAGGTCTACCTCAGACTATTGCAAAGTGTCAGGCTACTTGGTGGTCGCCCTAAGTCGCG